TTACATCATGATTAAATATACATTAATTGTTTATCTGCATTTTGATCGCTGTTTCATACAGTATAAATACAAATAGTGTTATTACTGTGTAATAAAGTAGGTGAGTACATATATAATTAACTGTCTCAGTCATAGGAACGAACCTATAGCATAGCATTCCTGAAGAGATTAAGTCAAATGTTTAATAAAAAGATAAATAAAAAGTATTCATTTGACATTGTGGGTTACCTACAATGTAAAGAGTTGGCACTGCCTTTCAGCTTAAGACTAGGAAAATTTCGTCGCGGCCAATAGGGCATAATGGTCAGTGCATTCGCCCGAATTGCGAAGGGTGCGGGTTCGAGTCCCGTCAGTTGCCTGGTCCGCGTGGATTTTTTTCTAGTAAACTTTTCTTTAGATTTAAACATCTAGCAGTTAAATGCTTAAAAATAAATAAAAACATAGATTAAGTTAAGTTAAGATTTTTCATATCAAAAGCAACCCTGTTAAAGTAGACTATACATATATAATTTTATATACAAAGAGTTGATGTTAGTTTTTCAGACACAAACTATATTCATTAATCTTGTGACACTGCCAACTATCGCCTGCCTTTTTTCACACGACCCAATTTAGTTTCGAGTTTTAGGCAGTTGCCTAAGTAAGTACATTTTCTTCGAAGGAAAATAGCATCGGGTAAAAAGTTACACTAGATATTTTTTTTCAACAAGTTACTGACTTTAGATGTAGCGATAATAAATCACAATGTAATAGGGGTATTTGACAGTATTAAAAATAATGTGCCAATTGCTAGCATCTGTATTTAGAATGAATATTGGCAGGTGTTTTTACTATTTTTACAGAAAAAATATTCATAATTTTACTAAAAACCTACGATAAATATAATAGTTTTCTTGTCTACTGTCACGTGACCCAAAACGCTTGGGATTGGTGGAGCTTAAAATGACGTCACACGCAAGTAAACTTCCGGTTAAAGTGACATTTGATTGTATGGTTTGACGTTTTAATGACAGTCGTGTGACGTCACACTCTAGTGAGACGCCATATTCTCCAGAGATACGTTTTTTGCGGCACCCTGAAAATGGACTTTTTGATTTGGTCTTTTTACCGAAATACACAACATAATGATGAATATCCATTTTTTATGGACTTTATAAACATTAGTAAATAACGTGAGATCGTTTTCTAAAACTTGTCATATACCCTATTATATAATAATGCACGAGTACGTTTTTATCAAAAATGCATCGGATGATAATTTTGCAGGGTATTCAGAGAGGCTAATTTTCGTACTCCTTTAAAGTGCGTTTTCATGTTATTGAATTGTCATTGTGATTTAAAAAAAAAATCTTTCCCAAATGTCAAATGAAAGGGATAAAGTGAACAGCAGCAACAGTGTGGAAAAAAAATTGGACCGTAACACAGACTAAATAATATTATAATTCAGTATACCTGTTTTTCATGATGGTGGATATATTTTTGTTTGTTAATCTGTTATTTTAGGTTTTATTATTTATATGTGGATGCTGTATTCACCAATAAAAAAGCATATCTTTAAGTATGTTATTAAATATTTTTTCAAATTGTGATGTAAAATTATATGTTGTTGGTAAATCTTTGTCAATAAAATAAAAAAAAAACAGCTCAATGAAGAACGGATATTTGGTTACTTATTTATAGACTTTATACAACCATAATCTGTTTCTACCGAGCAGTCTTTCTCGTGTCTCTCTCACTACGGGACATTGGCTAAATTTCCGTGTAAAACGGAGAAAGCCACAGACACACAAAAAAAGAATGGAAGGGATCATCACAAAGGAGTAAAGTTTACATTAGTTCCCAAGTTAGCCGGGCTCATAAGAACAGGCCCCATATAAAAAATACGTGATTCGGTTAAACCTTTTGCTCGACTTAATCTACTTAAAATATTACGAAACCATACAGCAAAACGGAGGCAATGTACGGAATACATGGTATATTTTTTTTTTTGTTTTAAAATTTCATGGTCACTAGCATTATCTCTTATCTATTAGACAAGTCCGTCTGTCTGTGGTGCTGTTTCAGCGGCCAAACCGTAAGAGATAGATAAAGAGAATATTTAAGTTATAAGTTAAGAATAGTCTGCTAAGACTACAAACCGGATTTGAGTAACGTAGCACTTCCGGTTTTCGAGAAATCAGGTTTTGGTGAACATTTGGTTTACTGGTTTGCTAGTAGTAATATAAGTTATTTACGGGATTGTTACCATGTAGTACCTTGTTTTCAGCAACTTTCCGATATTTCGGTACTGTTGCAAGCGCCATGATCACGGAGTAACTCCGTATCAGTTAGATAGTATCAGTTACTCCGTGATCATGGCGCTTGCAACAGTGCCGAAATATCGGAATCTAGCTAAAAACAAGGTACATGGTAACAATCCCGTAAACAACTTATATTACTATGATTTTTTATTTGTTATTTTGGATTTATGGGTAGGTACATTTTGATTCCATCTCTTATCACACTAGTATTATAAAGGCGAAAGTTTGTGAGTGTGTGAGTGTGTATGTTTGTTACTTCTTCGCGTCTAAACGTCTTGAGCGATTTTTATAAAATTTGGTATGGAGTTAGCTGACACCCTGGATTAACACATAGGCTACGTTTTACTGCGGGAAAATATGCCTGATAAACCACGGGTAACACCGCGGGGCGAAGCTAGTATTATATAATACCTTAGTGTCGCCGCACACGGGCTTCCGACCACAACCACAAAACGCCGACATCGGCATATTTCTTGTAGTTTTTATACATTTTATATGGACTCGCCACACACGGTACGCCGGTGGCCGCCACACGCTACAAATCGTCGTTGCTCGCTTCTTGTGGCCCGCACCGGCCACACAGGCCACTCGCGCGATTCGCCACCCCTCTCTCCCGTACCTTAGTCGGCCGCTGTCGCGCGCTTCAGCCACTTTAGTAGCCGCTTCTAGCTTCTCGTGGCGACGTTTGTGGCTGTGGCATGTGGCCCGTGTGCGGCGACACTTACTGCTATAGCAATAAGAATCGTCACATAGTTAACTTTTATATGTTTTGTAGACAGTAAGTAAGTAGGCATTAAGTGCCTTCATGTGTCACCTAATGATTTTATCAGTATTGTGTGTGTTATTAAAAACAAATCAGATTAAAAGCGCGATATGTAAGTCCATCCTTATCTATAATACAATCGTAATTGTAACGTATAATTTGTTCGGGGCTTAGAATCGATTTGATATTTATAAAAGTCGCTTTCTACGTCCGTCTGTGTAAGGGCTAAGGGCGCATTCCCAATGATAGGGTATTTGACAATTTTAGAAAACAATCTCACGTTATTGGCTAATGTTTATGGAGTCCGTAAAAAGTGGATATTCATCATTCTGTTGTGTATTTCAGTAAAAATAACCAAATCTAAAACTCCATTTTCAAATTGCCGCGAAAACGTTTTTCTGGACAATGTGGCATCTTACTAGTGTGTGACGTCACACGACTGTTATTAAAACTTCAAACGATACAATGACAGCGACCGACTAAGGTAAGGGAGAGAGGGATGGGGAATCGCGCGAGTGACGTGTGGCGGCGTTTTGTATCGGCGCATTAAGTGGCCGGTGCGGGCCGCAAGAAGTCAGCAACGACGATTTGTAGCATGTGGCGGCCACCGGCGTACCGTGTGTGGCGAGTCCATATATAATGTATGAAAACTACAAGAAATATGCCGGTGGCGGCGTTTTGTGGTTGTGGTCGGTGGCCGTGTGCGGCGACACTAAGTTGGGATCATTACTACTGTCAAACTCCTGTCAGATGATGAGACCTGTATTTTTTTACGATTTCTTCTCGGACGCGCGGAAAAAAGACCGCTACAAATACCTATATTTGATAGAAGAACTAAAAATTTGAAGTTTCAGCCAATAGACATCTACTAACTAGTGTCATGTCTCTGTTATATTCATTAAATTTGTTAAACAGATCAAGAAACCTTTGAAGATCAATATTTGCTACTTCGTCATCCTCATCAGCCTATTTATATCCCCACTGCTGGGGCACAAGCCTTCCCTATGAATGGAAAAGGGAGATTTGGCAATGACCCATCACGCCGACCCAGTGCTAACGACTGCAGATACAGCCTGGACGGTTTAATTTGCGTTTCGAAGCACGGAACTCGAGCTAGAAGATTTTTGGTCACCCATCCAATGTCCGACCATTGCGGTTGTTGCTGAACTGCAACGATCGCTGCCGAACGCTCTAGCCACCTGCGCCATCCAGCTCCTTATTTGCTACTTGTAGCCGCGTAAATAAACCTAGTAAATGGTAAATATGGGAATCAGAATTTGTATTTGTACCCCATTCCTTTACACGGGCAGTGTCGAATACCCGCTGTTATGTAAATATTTTGATTGTTGACCAAAGAGGATTAAATGAATCTGTTGTAAGTTATGGCCTAGGTAGTTATGGAAGAACTTATGAGACATACATAGAGGATATTTATAAAATTCAGTATAAAATGCGAAAGATAATTGTACCCAAATACGAGTATATAAAAGTTGAATATAAAGGTAACGCACAAGAATTATTTCGATATTGTAATGTGATGAATGTTTATGACAAGGTAAAATACGTAATTCTAACCGAATATAACGAGACTAAGTACTAGAATATTAATACGAAACCAGATAATCTGAGAAATGTGTTGGATCGTATAAAGTTTTTGTTGCCGAAATGTAATAATGTCCACGGAAATAGAAAGCTATGTTATTTAATACATTCCTATCTCAATGAATTGCCTAGTAATCTACAGGAAATTTACTCGAACATTGTAATCAATAAATATAATTATTTAAAAGATATTACTTAAAAAAAAGTCAACTTGAAAGTGTATAAAGTGGTAAAAGAGTGGCTCCCATACACACATAAATCTTAACAGGTTTTTATGTATGGCTTTTGAAATATGTATGTGTATGATTGTATTTGTATAATAAAATAAATAAAATTCGCATCACAATAAATAAATAGTAGTTTATTTACATTATTAACAATATTAATTTGCTACAAATTATTTCAACTTTTTCTTAGATCATGCAATAATTTAAGCCTTATCATTAAAACTTAATGTAGGAATTTAACTTAGTATAGAAAGTTCGTAATGTTATTTATGTGGGTGGTGCCTTGAGTACTAAAGCCTCTCCCGATGCCAACGTCAGGGCATTCTCGGAGATGACGTCACTGAAATAGAAAAAGACATGTTAAACAACATCATCAGCCTATTAATGCCTCCACTGCTGGGCACAGGCCTTCCCTATGGATGGAATAAGGAGATTGGGCCATGACCCACCAAGCGGGCCCAGTGCGGATTGACGCGTGCTGACGACTGCAGATGCAGCCGGGACCAACGGCTTAACGTGCCTTCCGAAGCACGCAGGAACTCGAGATTGCGAAAGTTGCTTAACTTCAATGATCGCAGCCGAACGAGCTAACCATCGCGCCATCGAGCTCCTAAAATTAATAATTTAATAAAGATATGTAGATACATATAGTTCATTCGACATATTTATTTGCCGCCCACGGCATGACGACGTTCACGAAATAAATTATGTGGATTTTAAAAGTAGGTACGCCCTGAAACAAGTTCGCTATTATACTTTGTAAAGATGGCGAGAAATCAAGGGTGCTATAACTGCTTTAACATCAGCTTTGTCTTTGTGAATGTTGTTTACTTAACATCAGCATCTGCAAACCGAATAGGTTTATCGTACCGCCAATTTTTTTTATACAGTCAGCTAGGCAAATGACTCTACCCCACCTTATGTTAAGTGGTGATAAAGTCCAAACGCGAAGATAGCTGGTACAGCAGTTATAAACTGCCACACCAACCATCCTCACCTTGCCGGCCTGCGAAAATGATTCTTCACGCCTTTCTTAAAAGACTCCAGATTGTAGGAAGGAGGGATAATATGCGCGGCAAAAAATGGAGTAATTTTATCAGAAATATTCGATTCCTTGTCAAAATTAAACATTTCTCACATTGAATAGTGATTTGGTTATCTGATATTTTTAATTCAACATGTCGTTCGGGGTAAAAATCAACACATTATTATGACATGGTGTTATTTGATCAAAAATATGTCAGTGATGTAGCTGAACAAAAAATATTATATACTCAAAAGTGTTTTTTTCGTGTCCGTTTAACGTAATGGTTGATTTCGATCCTCGTAAATGTTTTGACCTACATGGAATACAGGTTAGACATTAAAACGAATGGATTTTGTGTTATTGTTGTCTCAAGATACAGCCTTTGCATATTTTCAAGCTTCCTTCGACAAACATTGAAGACACACGATGAAACCACCCATGTTTACCAATAACATTAATTTGGATGACTATATTTCTTTCTGAAGTATAAATATGGTGGTGTTTCTGCTGATGGGTAAGGGTGTAGGACAAACGGGGTTAGCGGATGGGGTCAGGCTAGGCGTGGGGTCTATAGGTACTTGTCCCACAGCCGGCGATAAACGATAAGCGAGTAGAGCTAAAAACTAGAAAAGAGTCCGCGCGTTCTGACCGCTGAGCGAGTATAATCTTTGATAGCTCTTGTAGCTCAGCCGGCGGCAGTGTGAACAATCAGCGATCAACTTATTAATTTTATATGCATCTCTGATCAGAAAATATTCGATAGGTAGTCGTTTTGTCGCTGGCGATAAGAAAACTGTCAAAGGCTACAGCGGCTATAGTACAGCATCGTCTGATGCAAACCGATTTCACAAATTAGGGATCACCCGAATAACTGCACTTATTGTTAGTAAATTCGTTGATTGTCTATTGTTACATATTTGACATTATGTGATGGAAGTTGACCTCAACACATGTTTGCAAGTTTGATGTCAACTTTCAATTGGACGACACTGTATGAAATAAAACAGGGAGGAAAAAGCAGCCCTTGCTGAGTTTCTTGCCGGTTCTTCTCAGTACAAGGTCTCCCAACGTAGATTTGCGAACCGATGGCGTAGCTTTTCGACATTCACAAGTGCTTGTAACAGCCTAGACTGAATAAACGATATTGAATTTTAACACCTCGTACATACCCAGCTAATCTTGTAGAATTAATGCTAGACACGTAGACTGTTGCCGGTAGCGTCAGATGCGTCACCCTTGAAAGGCTGACTGTATCAGAAGCTAGTCCCACGTTGAACAGCAACACATAAGTGTCGTAAGTCCGCAGACTCCGGACCAGGAAGAACGACTGGTCGGAGAATGCCCGTATGTCGTATTCCCCGTGAGACAGGGTCTTTTCTTTCCGTAGCTTCGTCAACGCTTGGTAAACCTGAAATTAAAGTTGTATAACTGATGAAACAGAAATTGCCAGTACCTATATTAATTTATCCTAAAATTGCTGAGTATATAAAGTGATAAAGTCATAGAGCTTCATTATCTATATACAGGGCGTCCCACGGCAACCTCACACGGAGGGAAAGTATATTAAATATTGAAAATAGGATATTTTACTGAAAGAAGACATCATTTTATTTTTAATAATAACTAGAACTGCATTAGCAGATTTTTTTAAAATCGCCTTTTACAACTGTGAATCAAACACGTGAAAATTCGAAAAAAAAACACGAGACAGTCAATTTGAACTTTAATACCATACCATAAATTTCAAATGTTAGTGGCGAGGTTCTGGGAAGGCAAAACAATTGAGTGACGTGATGTCAATAGAAGTTTGGAAAAGGCAAATACACCATTTTCAGTATTTTTTATAATTACCTATATGAAGAGTCATTTTAATCTACACTACAGCTCTACACCGAAGCAAAGCGAGGGCGGGCCACCAGTACTACATAAAAACTAAATGAAATACTTTAGTATACACCTAGAACAAGAGGCAAGATACATCGCCATGACAATAAAATTTGCAGCATTTTGAGTTATATATTAATAAAATAAATGAATGTCGGGACCTTTAATTTTATCTATTGCCCATAGAACAAGCACTTAATTAGGGGCTAGGTAATTATCCTAACTTTATATGCATAGCCTATGGGCACTGTGTCTATATAAAAAGGAAGAAAATGGAAGTCTTTATTACTCAAATATGTGCACTCTTGGATTCGCAATAAGGATCACTCACTAACTACTATACCAAGTCAGAACTATGAAACTCAACATAATGTTTACTTACTGTCCAATACCAGCGCCAGTAAAAAATAGTAACATAATACCAGACTATGATGGCGAGAAGCAACTTTCGCAGTGGTCGGTCATTGGATGGGTTGACCAAAATTTTACTTTCTCGAGCTCTTCCGTGCTTCGGAAGGCACGTTAAGCAGTTGCTTCCGGCTGTATCTGCAGTCGTTAGTACTAACCAATCAGGCTGGGCCTGCTTGGTAGGTCCTGACCCAATCTCCCTATTCCATCCATAGGGAAGGCCTGTGCCCCAGCAGTGGGGACGTTATTAGGCTGATGAAGATGATACAAGACTATGAACAATGAGTCGTTAGCGTTATACCAGAAATTCAAACAACGAGTCTTTACTAAGACGACCTCCGTGGTCGAGTGGTTTGTACGCCGGGTTTGGTGTCGCCGACTCGAGAGATCCCGGGTTCGAATCCCGGAGGGGGCAGATGTTTGTGTGACGAATACGAGCACCTGTACTCCAGTCATGGATGTTAAATATTTATTTCTACATAAATATACTTATATATGTACAGTATATGTATTCTATCCGTTCCCCTAGTATCCCATAACACAAGCCTTACAGTGCTTACTTTGGGGCTAGGCTAATAGGGATGATGATTAATTTTTTTTTCTTCATTTAACAGGTAGATTATCAAAAAGTATTGGACACGTATTTTTTCTTTTTTCACATAATGTAAACATTGCAGAGACATATTGATTTGAAAAGTCGCGTGACGTCACGTTTGAGTACACTCATAAGTGAAAATTCACTCAAAAGTGACGTCACGGACCCCTACTCCCAAACTTTGACGCGCTATATCTTTGTCATTTTTTGGTTGATTGCCCAAATAAAAAATACGTGTCCATTATTTTTCAATCATGTAACTGACGGACTCAATAGAATTTCGTTTACTGTACCCCGTCATCACCCCTATTGGTGTGTGTTAAAAAAAAACTGTACCTTAAAATGACTTCTGCTATCCTCCATCTGCTTCTTCAGATTTATTTCTGTATAGTCTTCGGCTACTGGTAGCCAGGTAGTCAGGTTTGTGGAGAACCCAGCGCTGGTAGTGTCGTCCCAATGGAACGGCGTCCTGGCTGGGTCTCGTGAGTAAAGCATGTATGTCTCGTTGTCTCCCCTGTTAATTGCTTCCACGTCCACTGTATCCTCCCAGCTGACGTATCCGTCCCTCATGCCGATCTCTTCGCCTTGGTAAGTTACCGCCACTCCTGGCAGCAGCATGTTGATAGCGTTCAACCCGTCCACCATGTCGTGACGGAATCGAGTCGGCATCCTGTTGTTGTCGTGGTTGCCGAACTGGAAATGGTGATTTAAATAGTTTGTTTAAGGCAGGCAAATACAGGGGTCTAGGCTCCGAATATGATTTTGTCCCATTCGGTGACGAGACCCTTGGTCCGTGGGGTCCTAGCGCTATAAGGCTTTTTAAAGAAATAGCGAAAAGATTAGTCGACATCACAGGAGACCGAAGAGCTGGCAGCTACCTCGGACAAAGAATTAGTCTAGCTATCCAAAGGGGGAACGCTGCCAGTATCTTCGGAACCTTGCCTAAAGGGACTCCTTTTAATGATGTATTTTAGTTTTTATATTTTATTTTTTAAGGTTTTTAGTTTTAGGTTCATTGTTATAGTATATTTTTTGTTTTAATTATTCTTAAATTTATTCATATTGCACCATATTGTTGTAAATTAAATATATTAGTTTGTTTAGCAAATGTCGTTAGTAGTGATGTAACGAATATTCGCATCCGCATTCACTAATTATCGCATATTTTTGAATATTCGAATTCACATTCGCATTCGCAAAATCTCTGCGAATGTTTTGCGAATATGAATATTAGAGAAAAACAATTTGAAGAAGTTGTAGTTCTGCCTTTCCTTGAATATTCATTGTTACACAGTTTTGATTTAGCTCGTTCAGCATCGCAAAGTGTGAAATAAGTCCATGTTTCACTAGAATTCGATTTACTCATGTTAATAAATCACTATTACCACTCACAATCGCTAACCTCAAAAATTACTTGTTTTGTTTATGGAAAGACCGGTGCGAGCGGAATACCACTTCAGTCGGATAAGTTCATATCAACGCGGCAATTCGAACGAGACTGCCACCATGCCATAGACAATTGGCGCCAATTTAAAAAAAAACTAAATATTAATACTCATATTGACTAAATATCCCCTAGGTACCAGACATTCGCATTCTCGAATGTTCAAAAAGTCGTTAGCAAAGACTGGTGGAAGTAAAAAACCCGGCTAAGTGTGTGCCGGACACGTACAGTCGTACGTGGCTTTGATGCCCATAACGATTGAGCACGAGTATAAAACGCTGACACTTCCACCACGGTAATAGTATCTATACAGTATTGTGACTCGGCCCTGTCCTTGAAATAACTGCCTACGGCCGAGCGGGGCGTATCCACGCGGTAGGGCTGCCCGCCTACAGTATTTTAATTTCATCTACATAATTGAGTTTCTTTCTAGTTTTGTGATTATAAATATTTTATTTCATATGTAAAAAATGTTGTGAATAAATTAGGAAGTGTTACATAAAATTCATGTTATTTTAAGTGTAATATTTAATAAAAAAAAAATATATAGATTTGAGACAGAAAAATATTTACGCCCCGACTGAGACGTCCGAAAAGCTTTATTATTAAATTTAATAGTATAATAAATACGCATTCGTATAAAAGTTTAATTATTGAAGAGTTCAAGCAACCAAAAACAGCACAATATCGACTATTGCTCTTTGCCATATTAAATTATGTAGGTATCTACTTAATTTAATCAAATATTCACAATACAAACGTTTAAGCACGGCTAACTGCTTAAACAAAAATTCACGGTTCGGTCGTTTCTGCGGCGCATTCGCGACTGGATGCCCACCGAGTGCCGCGCGAACTCGAGTGGCGTAGGTATGAAACGGTTTCCGACCGTCTGTTTGAAGATAATATACTGTATAGATAGTATCACCGTGCTTCAACTTTTGTCTGTTTTATTAACATTATCTTTTTATTAAGGACTAGAGGCCGCCCGCAACTTCGTACGCGTTGAGTTAGTTATTTGCACATACTTTTTTAACCAAAAAGGGGGTTTATTTCTAAAGATACATTTTTAGTACACCTCTACACCATCTATAGAGCATACATGTTAAATTTCAAGTCTCTTACTTCAAAAACATAGGACTTTCATACAAACTTCCAACCCCCGTATTACACCCTTAGGGGTAGAGTTTCGTGATAATATGTAGCCTATATGTTGACCCGACTTCTTAATAATATTCGTGCCAAATTTGAAGTAAATCCATGCAGTACTTTTTGAGTTTATCTCGGACATACATAGAGACAAACTAACAAAAATTCTTAAAACTATATTTTTGGCTTCGGTATCGGTTGTAGAACACACCCCAAGTATTCTTTAAAAAAATATTCAATATACAGTTTTTACTTTCCTACCATTTTATTATATGTATAGATACTTCTCTAGACGAGCGATTGACAGTATGTCGTATATATTTTTAGGTAAAAACAATGGCAAACAAGCATATGGTCCACCTGATAGTTAATAAGCGATCATTATAGCCTATAAGACGCTTGCTACCAAAGTATCAGTTATACCAGAAATCAGAAATCAATATATCTTTATTCAAATTGGATGTATAGTACAACTCTTTTGAATCGTCCAAAAATTATTTTTTCCCTACCACTCGTTATGGACATATTTTTTAGCTGCGGAGAAAAACGAGCGAAAAAATCTCCACAACATTAAAAGTCTAATGTAACAACATTTACAAATCATTATGTTGTTACAACGTCAATACAATTATGATTTATTTAATATAGAAAACCTGTTGGAATGATTGGAACAGTTCAAACCCAAGCATTTTTATCTGTAATATAATCAGACACTTTGTAATAAGCTTTTTTAATAAGTGTTTTTTTTATAATATCTTTAAATTTATTTATGGATAACTCTTGGATATTGCTTGGGACTTTATTGTATAAGCGAACACAAAGACCTTTAAATGAATTATTAATTTTGTGAAGCCTAGTAGCAGGTAAAGTTAGTTTATTTTTGTTTCTTGTATTAATTGTGTGAACATCACTGTTTTTAAGAAACAAATTAATATTTTTTCTTTTTTACCTCATACACCTTACCCCGAATGGAGCTAAGACCCCTTAATCACCAACAGAAAAAACTCCACCAACCATTGTAGTTAGTTAACCTTCGTATTGTGCAAGGTTCTGACAGAAATAGACAATATGTTCTACTCACCACCCAGTTAGCCACTCCGCCATACGGCATGTACGTCAACCATCTGAGGATAGTGTACACGAAGTCCCTGGCGTTGGACTCAGCGTTGAGGTCCGTCACGAAGTCAAAGTTGAAGGGGAAGTGCGCTCCGATGTCGCCCTGCTCGTTGCCGTAGTACAACATAGTCATGGTCACGTTGGCGTAACCCTCGGAGAAAAGCACTCTGTAACAACCGAAAACCAAACTCAACACTTGGTGGCATATTTTAGAAAACAAAAAAATCAAAATCAAAGAAGTTTATTACGATACCACATTTGTTGTACACCAAACCAGGGTGGGTTCCTTCTATTAAGTGTTTAACACCTGTACCAGAAGGAACCACTCTTCCATAGCATCATTAATATATCTTATGGTAAGGTCTTAATTTTATTTCATTTCATAGAAAGAATGGAAAAGCTAGTACACACAGAGAGATGAATATGCTGTAGCAAACAGACACTTTATAATAAGCTTTCTTAACAAGTGATTTTTAATAGTCGATTTAAATTTAGTCAGGCTTCACTCTTGAATATTGCTTGGGACTTTATTGTAAAAGCGAACACAAAGACCTCTAACCGAATTATTAATTTGTGGAGCCTAGTAGCAGGTGAAGTAAAATTATTTTTTCATCCCACCACCTCGGAAAGTGTAATTTTGCGCTTCGAAATCTGGCTGGAAAATTCTATTTTATTCGCTTGAGCGGCAAAGTAGATTTGAATTTAGAACATCACATATAATGAGTACTCAATATAATTGTAAATTCAAAACGTCATTAAACCTATTTAATGTAACCTCTATGGTGCCAAATTTATGATTAGAACTTTTTAAATTGTGAAAAAATTTAAATTTGGAACCTTCTTGGTTTCTTTGTTTTATTTGCGTGCTTCGCGCCATTCTAGTTTTTCACGTTTTATTGCTTAAATATTTTGTCATTATAAATTGTTTTCTTTTTCATTTTGTCATTTCCTCGCTGAGGTGGGATGAAAAGTTACGTATTGCACTCGAGTGGAAAGATTTTTCACCTTGTGCTCGTTTGTTTCCCTCGCTGACGCTCAGGATTCTAATTTTAGAATCCTTCGCTTGCTCGGTCATCCAAATCGAGCACGCGGTTAAAAAGGAACTTTCCACTCTTGTATAATAAATAACTATTACTTTTAGTATTACGTGTATGTATTTCACTATTTTAAGTAAAGAAATGAATATTTTTATACAAACACTAAGTTTATTGTATTATACCATATGTATTGTGATGCAACCGTCAATATGTCTATTTTTTAAACTTATCTCTTAAGGAATCCCTAACTTTAAGATTTAAATTGATCGAATAGAATTTTAGCGGTATTTCGCCATAGTAAAATACCGTAAGACATTACACTATCAAAATAACTATAGTAGACTAATCTGGCAGTTTCTATATCCGGTACATGCCATATTTTCACTACAGCATATGCTGCAGAACTAAGTCTCTTCGACAATCTATCAATATGTGGGCCCCACTGCAGCTTAGAACCTAGTGTGGTCCCTAAGAATTCTGTGGTATCTACAGGGCTCATATGTCAATCCTTTATATTTACATTGTTTTTTTTATAATCAATATATAATACATGTCATAGTATGGCAAACTGTAACGGTGCTACTTATTCTGACAGCAATATGTAGTAATAGTCACATTGCCTTCATTCAGAAAATAGGGAAGCCACTGATTGTACTGTGGCGGTGACATCTACATGTCCCACATATTTATTTATTTATTTATTTATTTATTTAATTCTTAATGCACAATTGTACAATGGCGGACTTAATGCCGTAGGCATTCTCTACCAGTCAACCATAGGGTGTTGTGGAGAAGATTAGTGGTAGGGTGCACATGTGAGGTGGAAATCACATTTAAAGCAGTAAATCACATTTCAACATAAATATTATATTAATATATAATAATTAAATTACACAGTAATTATATACAATTACATACATATATAAACATACACATACGTAAACATATAATAAAATAACACTACATAAAATTAATACATAATAATGACGACTAACTACTAAACGAAATTGTCTGTTCCAGTAAAAAGCTTCGCAGCTTGGTTTTAAAGCTATATTTGCTGGTGGACATTCTAATGGCCAACGGGAGTTCATTCCACAAATGAATTGTTTTGATGAAGAAGGAAGAGTGAGTGATATCAGAGCGGTGAGAGGGAACGACAAGTAAACGATTAGAAGAAGATCGAAGGTTCTTAGGATGAGAGGTACATAAGTACTGAAATTGAGAAGTGAGATAAGGGGGGGCATTTGGAGAATCTAACAAAGAGAACAAAGTGGTCAGAGCCCGCATACATCTGCGCTGCCTAATAGGCATCCATTTTAAGTCATATAACTAACATGGAGGAAATAATCACTCGCCTCCTCAAGAGATGGCGCTACCGGCGCTGTGTTCACAACGTAAGGAAGCCTACATCACGCAAGTGAAATTCGGTAGCCAACAGTTCATATATACGATGCCCGACCAACATCAGTTGGACTTTCTGGAGGCTCCAGACGGAGAGGAGACTCCCCCTGTGGGGAGACGCCATCCGACTGGAATACCTCCAGAGGCACTCGCCAATTCTCGGCTTGAGGTCCCCTCAGGACCTCGTCGTCCCCAAACCCGGTGACGCTGTAAAGGTCATCTGCGACCAACAGCATACACACTCAAAAAAAAAACAGTTGGATAGAAAAGTTGACATTTGCTTTAAACAAAATTCATATTGATTATGTTAATAAAAACGGATTGAGTTTAAGCTGAACATACAATAATTGGGGGCAATTCAAGTTCAATTTCAGTCCGAATAGAAAAGAAGTAATGTCTTATCAAGTACCATGTAATGTCTTACCTTGTGTTACCCCCGTGTTCTTTGTTATATTCATCGACGAAGTCCCTCCATTCGTACACTATTGGGTAGAGATCTATCAGATCCTTGGTGTACAGTGGGATGGTGTAGCCCAGCTGATGCGATTCGAATTGCGCGAGGCCACTGAGCGGATCGTCCGGGTAGCTTCCGTTGTGATCTTCGGGCCTGGCCTCCATGAGGTACGGTAAAGCGTCCACCCTGAACCCGTCCGCTCCGATGTCCAGCCAGAATTTCATGATGTTGAACATCTCGTTTTTGACCACTTGGTTCCTGAAGTTGAAGTCTGCTTGGACTACAGCGAACTGATGCAGGTAGTACTGCTGGCGCGCCTCGCTCCACTCCCAAGCGGAACCGCCGAATTGACTCACCTTGACATTTCAAAAAAATATTCTATACTTTTTGGCTTTCAGATACTTATATTTCTAACTAGTGACCCGCCCTCGCTTCGCTTCGGTGTAGAGCTGTAGTGTAGACTATAGTTTTTGTTCTCAGGCTTGTGCTATAAACAATGACTTTATTTATATAATTACACGTGTTATTGTGAGTCAACCATAAAAGATAGACATATGCTGTTGCGGGATATTTTTTAGACAATTTTATGTAGAATATTTCCGTTATACATGATTTCTATGTAACTTTAACCATTAAGGCTGCACACGCGACGGAAGCTTAAAAAATGGAGTAACTTCTCCCGTTTTCCCAACATCTGCTCCTATTGATTGTAGCGTGATGAAAAGTATACTATAACCTGCTCAGGAGTATGAAGAATAATTGTACCAAGTTTCGTTAAAATCCGTCGAGTAGTTTTTGTTTCTATAAGGAACATACAGACAGACAGACAGACAAAAATTTGACTGATTGCATTTTTGGCATCAGTATCGATCACTAATCACCCCTGATAGTTATTTTGAAAATATATTTCATGTACAGAATTGACCTCTCTACAGATTTATTATAAGTATAGAAGATAATTCTACTATTGAAACAAACAAACGAGGTGGTTTAAGTAGTAGAGGCTACGGCAGGTATGTTATTATTTCCGCAAAAAAAATATCTTTTCCTTTTACTAAATTGTCTTCATGTTTTGAATACTTAACTATTAGATTTTGACTGCCATAAATTGATCCAAATAAAACTAAGTAATTTTAGGATCTACGTACTTTATACTTTTATATTAATTCCACTTGGGTACTTATGTTATTATGTTTATAAGATTTTGGTATATAAGCCGCGCCAATGAAGAAACGCATCTAAAATGGCGGCGGCGATCATGCGCTCTCACTCTAAACTATTGCTGTCTTTAGTCGCACACGGCGCGTACTGCATGCAAAAAAATATCAGTTCTGACTTTATTCTTGCACTGTCTCGACGCGCTCTGTTTTCTTTTCTTATTTGTTGACCCTACCATCTGTCAGTGCAGGTACAAGACGCCATTTTCGAATCGTTTCTTTATTGACGCGGCTTATACCATCATACAAAAATCTTGTATTTTACTGTTTATAACAGTTTTTACTATTTTTATACACGGTTTTCAAGTTTCTCAGGTAACTCAAAATTCACAGTGTATTACGAATTTCTTTTCCACTCCGGTCCCATGTTTATGAAATTTTTAATGAAATGTATTGCTTATTTTGTACTACGCCATAGTACAAGCAATGCTTAGTTTGGTGTGATTTTATGGGAATAGGAATAATGACTAACTTTTTTTCTTAGTTTATCGGATAGATTTATCAAAAAGTATTGGACACGTATTTTTGTCTTTATTCCCATAATCAAAATATTACAGAGATTATATTGATTTGAAATGTCGCATGACGTCATGCCTTGATACAATTTTACTTAGAAGTGACGTCACGAGCCGCCACTCCCAAACTTTGTAATTTTTTTGTCGATTGACAAAAGAAAAAATAAGTGTCCACTATATTTTATAATTTAACTTACGTCATCATCCCTATTACATATATAATTTTAATTTAATTAGTTACCCAGTTGGACGGCGGCCTCCTGTTGGTTTCGTTCTCTGGATCCACCCACAGTGGGTCAGCCCACATGAAGTAGTCTTTATACTCTGGGTCACCAGCCTCCGACTTCTTGAAGTATTCTGACTCGGTACTCGCGTGGTTGGGCACGAAGTCCAGAAGAACTTTCAGACCTGGTAATACAGTTTAGATTTCAATGACAAATGTATGTCGTACTTTCGTAGTATTCTGTTTGTAAATAATTAGGAAACGACAATATCGGCATCAAGTCTTATCAAAAATGATGTAACATTTTGAAGCGAAACTTCTTTTCCATGGGATTCTTCCATATACACTCCGTAAATGGAAAAATCCCATGGAAAAGATGAATCGGAAATTCGTCACGAGCGTCACGTGACTATATATATCTAATATATAAAATTCTCGTGTCGCGGTGTTTGTGGTTAAACTCCTCCGAAACGGCTTTCCCGATTCTCATGAAATTTTGTGTGCATATTGGGTAGGTCTGAGAATCGGACAACATCTATGTTTCATCCCCCTAAATGTTAAGTCCACCCCTAAATTTTTTTTTTTAATTTTAGATTTTTTTTTAATGATACTGCTGGGGACAGGCCTTCCCTATGGATGGAATAGGGAGATTGGACCCACCACGTGAGCCCAGTGCGGATTGGTAGGTGCTAACGACTGCAGATGCAGTCGGGACCAACTTAAGGCTTAACGTGCCTTCCGAAGCACGGAGGAACTCGAGATAGTAAATTTTTGGTCACCCATCCAATGACCGACCACTGCGAAAGTTGCTTAACTTCAACGCGCTAAACACTTGCGCCATCGAGATCCTCTCATATTTAGTAATGGTTTTTTATTTACACATCTATTAAATAGAAACGTTTAAAGAGAAACTATTCAGGATTAATGAGATAATTTACCCTAATCGTAGTTATATTAGTTTCGCCAATAGTATTATGGATGTCGTAGGATGATTTGATAACTCGAATTTTTGCGAAAATTCTGGGGGATATTGCAAAAACGCTGATAAAATTAGTGGCATATAATGGCGATGACATTTCTCAATCTTACTGTAAAAAACCAACCATACCGTGCCATTATACTCTAAACTTCTGATAGGGTTTTCTGTAATCTACAATCAAAGTGCTACATTACATTAATTTTTCCAAAAATTTTGACGCAATTGTTTCGGAGATGACGTGGTGGGACAGTTGAATTTTCATCGATTTACTTAAATATTTTTTTCAAACTATTTAATAAAAATTTGTGATAAATATAATATTTAAAACCTTCACATTAAGCCCTTTCATTCGATATACATACAACACAGTACAGTTAGCTAAATCTAAAAATAGCAGTCTACCCCCCAAACGGAACCCCATAATTCGAAAATCATTTATTTACTTTATTCGCCCGTGTTTGCGTCACAGTACGTACTAAATTTCAAATTTATCAGTCCAGGAATTTCCAAGCAAATCGACTGTGATAGACAGACAGACAACCGAGTGATCTTATAAGGGTTCCCTTTTTGCCGGTTGAGGTCTGGAACCCTAAAATATAGGATTTTTGCGAAAACGCGAGTCGCCTCAGTAAGATTGCGAAAAAGATCGTTATAGTTTATCTTATTATAAATAGTCTTGGGTTCTTGGATTCATATTAGGTTAGGTAAGGTTAGATTTAGTTTTTTGTACACTCAAACCAACTAGCCTACCCCCATAGTAAGCACTGTAAGGATTGTGTAATAGGATTCTAGGGTACCGGATAGAATACACACATATACTGATACATATGTTTTAAAAAAATATCTAGAAATAAAAAACATACATGACATAGGCACAAATGCTCGTAAGTATTCATCATGCTGACTTTTAACCCCACAGGGACACGAACCCTCTCAGTATTATAGAATTGTGTCCATAAGCAAGCGTGCTGTGGCAGCGGCCGGCGAAACGACAAAAAAAAATCGTCAACAGCAAGATTAAGCAATGTCATCGCCATTTGTGTAATTATCAGCGTTTTCGCGAAATCTCTAGGATTTTTGCGAAAAATCGATATATCAAATCATACTACCACATAGATAAGAACATCAAAAAAGTACCTACTCATATTTATGTTTACAGTATTTATAGATTAAGTAACATTTAAATTGAAACTATGTAAGTAGATTAAATTCTAATCGGGTTACCTTCACGGATAAGAACTAATTTTCCAGATAAAAAAATATATTGGCAATTTACGTAGATAACAGGAATTATCCGATATTATTACCTATTTTTCATCTTTTGATGTTTACCATTAGTTTTTAAAGGTGCCTTTGAACAGTATTTTTTATGAAACATTTTAACTTTATCATACTTATTCATATTGTGGTGAAAATAACCATAAATAAACTTCATCATCATCATCATCATCATCAGCCTATTAATGTCCCCACTGCTGGGGCACAGGCCTTCCCTATGGATGGAATAGGGAGATTGGGCCATGACCCACCACGCGGGTCCAGTGCGGATTGGTGGGTGCTAACGACTGTAGATGCAGCCGGGACCAACGGCTTAACGTGCCTTCCAAAGCACGGAGGAACTCGAGATAGAAGATTTTTGGTCACCCATCCAATGACCGACCACCGCGAAAGCTGCTTAACTTCAACGATCGCAGCCGAACACGCTAACCACCTGAGCCATCGAGCTCCTCGCATAATAAATAAACATGTACTATACCAATAACATGAAACTTCACAAAATTTGGAGCTTATTTTGAGACTCGACTTATTCGTTTAATACTTGTAAAGGTATTTGTTTGGCATTGTGGTTTACCTACAATGCGAAGAGATGGCGCTGCCTTGCAGCTTAAGAAAGGCTAGGAAGAATTCGACACGGCCATTAAGGCCGCGGTAACATAATGGTCAGTGCATTCGTCCGGATATCGAAGGATGCGGGTTCAAGTCCCGTCTGCTGTCTGATCGAGAGCATTTTCCTTAAATATGTTCTCATTTTCTCGAGTAAAAAGGCACTCACCCAACTCATGAGCTCTCGTCAGCAACTCCTTGAAGTCTTCCATGGTGCCGTACTCGTAATGAATGTCGTAAAAGTCGCTGATGTCGTAACCGAAATCCACCATGGGCGACGTGAAGATGGGGGACATCCAGATGGCGTCGACTCCAGCCTCGACAAAGTGCTCCAGTTGACTGGTGATGCCTGTAATCAGATTTAAATCCATCATTTGGAATGAATACAAATCTATACTAATCTTATATATAAAACTAGCAAACCAGTGAACCAAATGTTCACCAAAACCTGATTAAAAAAAAAATGTATTTAATTAATTGAGAACTTCGGAGATTTTGTGTGGTTTCATTTGAAATTCGTGATTTCTCGAAAACGGAAGTGCTACGTTACTCAAATCCGGTTTGTAGTCTTATCAGACTATTCTTAACTTATAACTAAATATTCTCTTTATCTATCTCTTACGGTTTGGCCGCTGAAACAGCACCACAGACGGACGGACGGACTTGTCTAATAGATAAGAGATTCTCGTGTCAGAATGTTAGTTACCATACTCCTCCGAAACGGCCGGACCGTTTTTTATGAAATTTTATATGCATATTCCGTGGGTCTGAGAATCGGCTACTATCTGTTTTTCATATCCTTAACTGAAAATGGTTGTCCACCTGTAACGTAGTGTTCTGAAACCTACAATGCGCCTTCGCGCCAAAATTCAAACTATTGGGTATTGTAACGTAGTGTTCTCATATGGGTTAGGAGGAATGTTATCCCAGGAAATTGATAGAACACTACATTACACACCCCTAAATTTTTTTCGGACAATATTTATTATTTTTATAATGTGGTATTGGAAAATACATACAATCCTAAATTTTCTCTTCTACCACCTGCCCCTATTTTTATGGCGGTACGAAGTTCGCTGGGTCAGCTAGTTATCTATACTTATATCATAAACCCGAAGAGTTTGTTTGGTTGGTTTAAACGCGCTAATTTCAGGAACAATAGTTCCTCGATTTGAATAATTATTTTTGTGTTTAATAATGCATATATATACAACATAATGCTAAGACTACTAATAGGAGCAGTGTTGCCAGGTCTCCAGATTTTACAGGAGATCTCCTGTTTTTCTGAAATTTCTCCTGTTCTACTGTTTTTCTACATGAATCTCCTGTTTTTTAGAATACGATTTTCTTTTTTAAATTGCATGTTGAGTTGCATTTTCCGTCATTAATAATGTAGATAACCTTAATAATTATAAAATAAATGTAATTGTCTAAAGAGAAAATTGCTTTGAGGGGCGGCAGAAGCCACAGAAACACATTCGTTACTGGTATTTATCTTGATTTGATTTACCAATTCTAGGGTTAGGGTTAGGGGGGGGGGGGGGGTGCAAACCGGAAAAAGTACACCTCTGCATCTACTGTTTTTCTTGTAGCTGTTTCCATACATCTACTGTTTTTTTCTATAACGCCTTCCGATTTTTAAAACTCGGACCTGGCAACACTGAATAGGAGCGTCTTCCTCCTTGTGTCGTGCTCCTCATTGCTGAGGGTCGTGACCTCCACGAATTATTTTGTGGACGATCGCTTTCCACTTATTGCGGTCTTCCGCAGTGTGGAGTGCATCGCGGACTCCAGTTTTGATATTGTCGCGGATCTGGTCTGTCCAGCGTATGGGGCTTCTTCCTCTCGGTCGCCTTCCCTGTACTTTTCCTGTCACCAGGAGCACTTCCAGGGTAATAGGAGCGGAGCAACAATGAAAAATGTCGCAAAAACGGGATATATTCCATTTGAGACCTTCCATTATGCGTGCGCTGCATAACTCGTAAAAATTACACAAAATTCTTGTATGACGGAATTTTACCCTTTTAAAAGTTCTATAAAAAGTCCGCGACAGCATTGTGTCCATTTTTTAAGGTTTTTTTTTCCTGAAATTAATGCGGATGTAACCGGAGGGCCTTATACCTTTAGTAATAAACTCAAAAAGTACTGAAGCGATTTCAAATTTTGTTTCTCGATTAGAATGCTAGATTATGCTTGTGTAACACAGGCTATAATTAATCGCGTTTAAATGAACGTTGTATGGAGTGACTTTAAGACTAGGAGGCAACGTATTGTGGGCATCCATTGAAAAACAGCTGAAGCTAGCGCTATGGTCGCTACTAGCGCCGCCTCGCCACCATGGCCGATGTAGAGAAAATCCCCCCAACTTTTCTCGAGAAACTCCTGTTCTACATATTGCTGCCATCTCTTAAATGTGGCAACCAGGATAAGACGCGTGATAACCCCGGATTTTGAAGCCCAGAACCCGGACAGACCAATAAAAAAACAGTTAAAAATGTCACAATTCAACTTTTTTATGTTGATCTAGGCAAAAGCTAGCGGTCTACCTCATAATAAGTGGTCACTGCTGCCCATGGACACTTGCAGCACCAAGGGCCACTCATGCGTTGCCGTAAATTTTTAAACCCGGACTACAAATAAAACCCCGCCCGGACGCTCCCCGGACGCCCCGTAAACTAGGACAAATCCGGGGAAACCCGGACGGATGGCAGCCCTAGTTCTACACAACAGCCAGCTTCGTACTCGCTACGTTCAGCTTTTTTACCTTCTTGTTCTTCTTGATGACGAATGAAGTAATTTTAGAAAATAAAGATAACATCATTTGTTACATATTATTAGGTACATTAAATAAAGAGTGGGATCGAATGAGTAAGTGTATGTACGTAGGAGGAAGACAGATAACGTCTCTGGGTAAAAGTAGTGTTTTTAACATTAAAAATGTTTTTTACGTTTGCTCCAGTAGGCGCCCATTTTCGCTCAAAGTGCGAATCACCCGTGATACCCCGAGGATTAGGGCCACGAGGACGTATGAGTGCTCAAAAGACGCGGAAATCGAAGGGCTTTAAGATGATGTAAAAATATTTTGGAAAATATATGCATTTAAAAAAAAAAGGCTGAAAAAAAAAATTTTTTTTTTTTATAATATATAATAGGTAGAATCAATTTTAATGCCCTTTCAAGTAGTGTAGAGCACGAGATCTATGATTTTTTTTTAAATAAGTCATATTTAACAGCGCTCTGATGTCCAAAGCAATCTCTGTTATGTAATTTTATCGTCTAACATTTTCGGTTTTATTTTGTTATACTTAAGTGTTTCTCCCTAAAAGAATATGTAAATGAAGTTTATATGATATAAAACGTCTATTGTTATAACGATTATAATGGTAACACAGGATGTTGTGATGTCCCATTCGCATTTAACTCCGAAACGGCATCGTCATCGCGTCGATTTGTCGCGCGTCTCGCAAGGCCGCCGCAGTTAACTACGGTGTTTAACATTATTGTTTTATTTACTAGTAATGTTTGAAAGCAAAAACTAGCTAGAAACATAAATTAGTAAAAATTGCCATACGATTTAACGTGAAAAGAAATCTTGCAGGGTGTTTCCCTACATTTAATGCTATGCTAGAAAATACTACTATGTACAGGTCCCAGCCCAGCACGTAACTCTGCGCATGGCTATAATGCGATTCAACTAAGAATAGGACCGACTGGGCGCCATATTGTGATGTCATAGCTGTCAATTCAAACCAAATAGGTAGAGTGAGCAAAAAAAAAAGTTTTTATTTAATAAAACTTATTTACTAAGATTAAGTGGGAAAAAGCATCAGATTTTTTTAATAACATTTATTTACTAAGATTGAGAAAAAAAAAACCACCGATTTTTAATAATATTTATTTAGTAAGACTGTGAGAAAAAACATTAATCAGAATCTAGCTCTTCTATTCCGCTCATCTCTGCATTACCGCCGGAGTAAGTAGTTATGAATAATCATGCACTATTGCTAAGTTACATAAGAACATGCATCCTTAATGTAAACGAAAGTTTGAAATCGAGTTTCTGAACGCAACTTAAAGTGACATTTGTTTGACGATTTAGGTTATCAACCATTCATGGCCAAAGCTCAATAAATGAAAACAAAATATCAACCGATATTAATTATCAATATTTGTTATTGTTTGTTTACAAATGTTTGGTTTTTATTCTTGAATTAGCGGAGTGCTAAAAAGGGTTCCAAGTTTTTCTTTGCAAACCGTACTTTTCTAGTGACTTTTGACAGATAGAGGTCATTGGCTTTCCTTTTCTTATTTGAATCGCATTATACGACTGGAGAGCCAATCGGCGCAACGCACGCCCACCCGCGCACCTCTTTTCCCCCTAACACATCTTAATTTTTACTTCTGCGCAATAAAGGTAAGCGCTAGAGTTTCGTGCCGCGCCTTTTACTGTGATGTGCTGAACTAAATGCTCAGTAGAAAGCTATGAAATGGTAAAACAATGATTTAATGCACTGCTTGATTTAATTGGCACAAATTAGCTTCATCATCATCAGCCTATTAACGTCTTCACTGCTGGAGCACAGGCCTTCCCTATGGATGGAATAGGGAGATTGGGCCATGACCCACCACGCGGGCACAGTGCGGATTGGCGGGTGCTAACGACTGCAGATGCAACCGGGACCAACGGCTTAACGTGCCTTCCGAAGCACGGAGGAACTGGAGATAGAAATTTTTGGTCACCCATCCAATGACCGACCACTGCGAAAGTTGCTTAATTACAAAGATCGCAGCCGATCGCGCAAACCACCTGCGCCATCGAGCTCCTCATAACCTCAAATTAGCTTGCAACCATACATTTTCACAATGCTTATGATTATTATGAACATGTAAATTATGTGTTATGTCTTATATTAATCTAATAGATACTAAGTCACAGGTTTCAGTCAACAAACTAGTACCTGTAGGAATAAATACGGGATAAATCACTAAAGTAGGAAAACTTCGTTAAAGTGTTCTTTAATCTTCTTCTCCACGCTAGAATGGAAGCTTAAGAAGATCATAGATATAGCAAATAGAAGATTGACCTTGTATTATGACAATGTAAAATGTATTTTTAATTAGTTTTATATTGTATCATGTTTTAAATGTGGGTCTTAGCTACCTGCAATAAATGTTTTTATTATCATTATTATTATAGCTATTAAGTATTAAGTTTAGTCTTTCACAAAATAATTCACTAGCTCCTTCGCACTTTGGTCCTGCTGGTACCTATAGTCGTCAGCCTCCACCATCCGCAATAGGCCCGCGAAGTTCAAAACCATCTCTTATCTATTAGACAAGTCCGTCCGTCCGTCCGTCTGTGGTGCTGTTTCAGCGGCCAAACCGTAAAAGATAGATAAAGAGAATGTTTAAGTTATAAGTTAAGAATAGTCTGATAAGACTACAAACCGGATTTGAGTAACGTAGCACTTCCGGTTTTCGAGAAATCACGAAATTCAAAAGAAACCACACAAAATCTCCGAAGTTCTCAATTAATTAATGTGTTGACCCTCTCTTAGTTTTACCCGACGGAGGCCAGCGGGGTCCAGACTTGGGAGGTCTGGGCCCTGCATTGCACAGGCCTTTGTCGTTAAATGGGGATGCCCCTAATGCCCCGGGGCATCCCCAAGATGGACGGGTCCGTTTGAATCGGACACTCACGGGCGGGGTTCCGGAAGCATCCGTAAGGGTTCCCGTGGCCTCGTCCAGCGCCGTTACCTCGCCGGGCCGGGTGCCGACCTACTCCCGTACTTATCAGGTAAACCAACTCCCCGATCTACCCCTCACCCTCCAGGTGTAACTGCGGGATCCAGTTATGACTCGCCGCTTGTCACGTCTGACCTTCACATACACTAACAGTAGGGACATTAGAAATAGATCTAATATATATAAAATTCTCGTGTCGCGGTGTTTGTGGAACTCCTCCGAAACGGCTTTCCCGATTCTCATGAAATTTTGTGTGCATATTGGGTAGGTCTGAGAATCGGACAACATCTATTTTTCATCCCCCTGTTGTGGGTATGTTAAGGGTAATCCACCCCTAATTTTTTTTTTCAATATTAGATATTTTTTTTTTAATTTTTACAACATTAGTAAAATAACATGCAACCCTAAATTTTCACCTTTCTACCACCAACCCCTATTTTTTTATGGCGGTACGAAGTTCGCTGGGTCAGCTAGTAATATATATAATGTTTATAAACTTACCTTTCAAATCACCAATGCCATCGCCATCACTGTCCTTCAGTGACCTCGGGTAAATCTGGTAAAGCACGCAGTGTTGCCACCAGTCTAGCTCGATCAGCTCCGGTGGATCCGGGACTGGGGTTGTGTCTCGGGACGCTATGACTGCCCATGTTATACTCCCTGCCGATAGAAAGACATTTTCTTAGTTAAATATTTTATTGGAGTTTACTCCTTAAGAATCGATTTGCATATATAAGGCGCCCGGTATGAGAAAAATGTAAGGAGTAAAATCTACTGAACAAATGACCTCGTTACGTTTTTGTGCGCAACCTCATCTGCGCACCTTTCACTTTTAGCCATGGCAACGGATAAAAAACATTAAGTTGCACAAACGTCAATGAAATAAATAAACTAAAAATAGATAAAATCGGAGCAAAATTAATGAAAAGAAATAAATAACAGAATATAGAGAAATGCCGGTAAGTGTCCAGCACTCGGAATAGTGATTTTCAGTAGATGGAATTATAATACATATTTACAAAATGATGACTAGTGTGTGATATTTTTGAAATTGTGTATTTCCAGAAATACATAATAAAATATATGATGAATATCGATGATGTTAGATGATAACATGGAACCTATGATAGTCGAAACCATGGGACGATTCCTGAGGTATCTCTACTTGTAACCGACTTCTTCGGACTTGATTTTGTTTTGTGTCTGTTCAAAGACAATCGTTTTTAGAGTGTAAACTCCGGTCGTGCGTCGGAGCTGACACACACAATTATTTTTTATTAGGAAGAGTTACAGTGATTTGCATACAACATATTATTCTAAGAAAACATCTAGACACCATTAACACGTTTTGCATTATGAAGAAATAAATTTGTCAGATTTTTTTTATACTTATCGAGTTTGCATTTGAAGCCAAACTCTATGGTGCCTTATGAAACAAGATGCAACAAGAGAAGGCCGCGCACTTTTTATATCCATACATTTTGTATTGAACGATATTACTAAGTAAGAAAATAGATATCATTAACACGTTTTCGCATAAGATGTGATAATTTTGTTAGAAACTAACTTCTGCTTTAGCGAGTTTGTATATAATAAGTGTCTTAGCTGCGTGGATAGGACACTGTTCAGTTCAGTTTTTTTTTATAAAAAAAAGGAGCAATATTATACAAAACTCAGATACCTACTTTTAAAACTAATACTTTTGATTGTCTCAATATACTATTTATCTATACTAATATTATAAAGCTGCAGTTTGTTTGTTTGAACGCGCTAATCTCTGGAACTACTGGTCCGATTTGAATGATTCTTTCAGTGTTGGGTAGTTCATTTATCGAGGAAGGCTATATTTTTTTTTTTCAAAATTAGTGATCCGTAATAAAATTGCTATTTTGTAACACAAGGTGTAAAATCTAAAACCTATTTTTGTGTGCGCTGCAAAAACTATTGACAATAGAACAAAATGATTTACTACGCGTTTGTAGATCCCATTAAGACCTACAAAAAAGTCCGCGAGAACATATATCTAGCTATCATGGTTTAATCACAATAACCGATTTTGTGTTCAAAATAATTATTAAATCGTCTGAAGAAAAAAAAACTACGTTAAATATGTATCGTAACATTAAAAACACAAACAACCCTTAATTTTCACCCCTCTACCACCCATATTTTTATGGCGATACGAAGTTCGCTGGGTCAGCAAGTACAATATATTTTGGAGCTTACATCTTTAACATCAACACAATTTTTATAGTTTGTTAAATCGATTTGATAGTCGAGTAAGGTAAATGTCCGAGTTATTCAATTCTGATTTATGCTGTCCCATTAAACTATTTCGGTCAATAAAATAAATGTCTAAGGGATCCTCCCTTAGGTACACTTTAAACTTGAAACACTTTAAATAAAACTAGTTTTTCACGGGTTAATGCTCGAAACTTTATTTATTTATTGACGTTTAGCAGCCTTTACATCCCGCGTCGTCGGAATCATTTTTTTATTAGACAAATAAAAAAATTGTCTAATAAAAAACATTCATAATTTGTCTAATAAAAAATTGATTCCGACGACGCGGCCTGTAAAGGCTGCGAAACGTCAATAAATAAATAAAATTTCGTGCGTTAACCAGTGAAAAACTAGTTTTATTTAATGAGTGATGTGCGTGAAAACCTAAGAAACAAATATTGAAACACTTTTCCAAAACACATTTTTGGAAAATCTTGAAGAGATATAATAATACTTTTACAGAAGCGCAATAGTAAATAAAAATTGTGATATTTTTTATTACCTATGACAATTCCAACGCCAAGAACAATCGCGACAGCGATGCCTACAACCGCTAACGTTCGCATTGTGACTGCGGGTGACCTGCGCGGGAGTCCGCTGCTCAAATTTATCTGTCTTTCTTTACCACTGTGTTATATTATCAATGACCAATCTCTTATTATCAGTCGCCAGCAAGTCGATTAAATTCGCGTTTCCTTCATTGAAAGTACTTTTGAATTCGATTATCTGGTCCTGATATGATTTCATATCTGGATGATTAAATAGTTTACGAACTTTAGGTGTGATCGAGTGATTAGAAATGTAATAAATAACTTTGGAGGCAGGTGGTCGGTTTTTTCAAACGTAAGCAATACACATGTTTAGGATTATTATTAGATATTTAGTTTAGGATTTATCTCAAATTAAATACTTAGGTAAGAACAATTTTGAATCTTCATTCGTGTCTAAATAGAGGACAGAGATATATTCAATCATTGTTAATTTAATGTAAACGTTTTTATGCATTTAATGTCTGTCAAATTGTTTTTGACTTCGTCTTAGATAAAAATATATTTATTGTATACTCTTTCGAATAGCACGTCAATTAATTATCCCATTCACATACGATATATTTATGTACAGTGGTTTTTTTTGGAGTTTACTCCTTAAGAATCGATTTGCATATATAAGGCGCCCGGTATGAGAAAAATGTGAGGAGTAAAATCTATCGATGAATGACCTCATTACGTTTTTGGTGCGCATCCTATGTCGCGCAACTTTGACAAACAAAGATGACGGATTGACATTAATAACCATAAACCACTTGTCACTGTAATTAATAATGCAGACAATGTTGATTTTATTAATATTTAAAAAAAATATAATAGTCTGTTAATAATAATTACATAATTTATCAACATTCCTAATGATATATTTATGCACATCTGAAATTGACTATTGTAAAAAGTTTAATGTAAAATATTTCGTCGATTAGTTATAATAAATGTATATGAAATGAATAAATATACATTTATATTATTTTCATTAATTTGTTAATTTACCCTTTCATACAGTATCAATCTTTTTTAAGTTAAATAAACTCTTTTTGCGTCTGGTTAGGCTATCGAACTTAAGGAGTAAACTCCAGTCGGGCGTCGGAGATGACACACACATTTTTTTTTTATTTTTTTTTAATACACTCCAATTAGCCCAGCCCCAAAGTAAGCACTGTAAGGCTTGTGTTATGGTATATAAGGGTAACGGATAGAATGCATATACTTTACTTATATAAGCATATCTATATTATAAAAAGGCGCAAGAATCTAAAAACCGAACAAGCTCGAGTCGGTCTCGCTTACCGAGGGTTCCGTACAAATGTTTAGGTGCGCAACATAAACGGCCCTATCTTTATTTCAAGTTAACTTTGAAGTTTGAGTTTTCTACAGCTTCAAGGGACAGCAAACTTGAATTTACGTTGTAAATTTCAACTCGCTATCTCCACGCGTTTCTGAGATAACAGTTCTTGCCAAAGGACATTTTTTTTTTAACGTTAAGAAAGAAATTTGATTTTTTCACAGCTTGAAGGGACAACAGACTTGAGTATATGGTTTAAATTTCAATCTGATACCTTTATATGTTTCCGAAATAAAGGATCTTGATAGACAGATGGGAAGACGGATACCAAAGTGATCCAATAAGAGCCTGTGTTGCGTTAAGGCGTCCGCTCCCTTCCGCGAAGCAAACATGCTTCGTGTTATTGTATTGAGCAGCGCTGCGCGGAAAGTGAAATGACATAAAAACTGCACGCCGAGCGGCCGCCCACTCTGTGCTCCCGCTTAACGCAGCGCAAGCTCTAAGGATTCCGTATTTTTCTTATGAGGTACGGGACTCTAAAAAAAAAAGAAAAAGTGGCTGTTGGTGACTTTATATAATTATCGTTACAGTGACTTTGCGTATGTAAGCCTGCGTGTTGAATAGCCTAATTTTTTTCTTACTAGGTACCAGTAAATTTTAGAAGTGAATGTTTTTTATGCATGCTTGACTTAGGGGGTAAGCAGGCGAATGCGTTGCGCGTTACGAAAAGTGTGTTTGGGCGAGGCGAACGGAAGTTGAGTGGGGGATATAAGCAGGAGAAACAGTGCGCGCGCACATTGGTGCTAATTCTGGCGTGATTCTCTAAACTTAAAACTAAATTTAACATCAGTCTCTCCTTTTCATTCTGTATAGAAAATGACAAGGATATACTGCTGTCAAATTTAAGTTTAGGTTTAGAGAATCATGCTAGAATCGACACCATTATCTTACTCTCTTTCTCTTATAGCTAGTAATGATAAACATATACATATATCATATATATATCTACATACATGTATATATTGTATACACACACACACACATATTATTTTATTTTTGATTCACTATTTTAGCGATAATGGCTTACACATTAAGATATATGCTGGCGGGGACTTTTTTGTAGAACTATTTAAGAGATACAATTATATATATACTACTAGCTGACCCAGCGAACTTCGTACCGCCATAAACAAATAGGGGTTGGTGGTAAAAAGTTGAAAATTTAGGGATGTATGTATTTTTGTATGATGTATCATAAAGAAATCAAAAAAAATTTTTTTATCTTAAATTGAAAAAAAAAATTTAGTTGTGGATTACTCTTACATTTAGGGGGATGAAAAAATGATTACATCCGATTTTCAGACCTACTGAATATGCATGTAAAATTTCACGAAAATCGGTCGAACCGTTTCGGAGGAGTTTAACCACAAACACCGCGACACGAGAATTTTATATATTAGATATATCTTTATATATATAATTCTTCTGTGAGTGTGTATGTCACTGAACTTCTCTTAAACGACTGGACCGATTTTGATGAAATTTTTTGTGTGTGTTCAAGGGGATCTGAGAATGGTTTAGATTCACAATTTTGTCCGCGGTCTAGTACCCATTGGACCCTCAAGATTCGACCCAAAAGCAAAAAGTGCCCATTGGACCTCTTTTTTGGTGTCCATTGGACCTTCTTAAAACATTTTATATTCAATGTGCCCATTGGACCTCTTTTTTGGTGCCCATTGGACCTCCTTAAAAATTTTATATTCAATGTGCCCATTGGACCTCTTTTTAAGTGCCCATTGGACCTTCAAGATTATACCTTACTGCCAGTTGGACCTTATTAACAGTTTTGTTAAGCACAGTACAGTCATGTAGAAAATTGCAGACAAAAATAAAATTAATAGTAGGTATTATAAAGCCACTAACTAAATACTGTATAAGTATTGACTCCAACCAGTAAGTAGTCCTAAACAAATTGTAAAGAAATCAGTTTACCTTTTTTCTTCGAATTAATGATATTTCGCCATCCCCGGAGAATAAAAAGATAACCACAAAAACGTAAGTTTTCAGAAAAAATAAAAAAAACTGTTTTTCGTCTATTGATCTATAAATACGGGACGCAGACAGATGATAGTAACCTTTAAGAAAAGCTAATTTTTAAAACATTTGGATTTTTAGTAAGGTACTCGTACAATAAGATATAAGGGAGATATTTAGAAAATAAAAAGTGAATCAAAAGTAATCAAAATTTAATTTGTATAATGTTTATTTTTATTTTATTCGTATTGACAAGGAGCCAAAACAAAATATTGCACTACTGACATGTATTTTTATTCTATGGGTTATAAGGGTGCAAGTGACAATGATAATACTTCAATATCTTTTTATTTTCGTAAATATTGTAAAACCTTTTTTTCTTTAAAGATCATTTTATATGTTTGTGCTTTAGGTTTAAAGGAATGATCATTAATTACATTAATTTTGAATTTAATTACATTAATGATCATTAATGTAAAAAGTTTTCACTCAATAGGGCAATCGTACACTGACCAATAAATAGCCTTACAGCGCAACACCAAATCCACAAGACCTTTCAAATCGAACAAAGTTCGATTGATTCCAAGTTCCTTAAAACAGCTTGGATCTAGACAATCTAAGCAACATGACGGTGGATTTTGCAAAGACATCATCTTTTGATCTAAGACTGAAATTCTGAGGGAGATTGAGTATTTTTATCGGCAGTTATACTCCTCTTACGCACCTGATGAAAGGAAGGTTATAGATTCCAAGCCCAAGCAATCTCTGCGCTTAAACAAAAGGATGGCGCTGATCTCATATGTGGGAGAGAGAGAGAAATATTGCTGTCTCGTTCCGATTTATGACCTATGTTGCAGCTAGAAAATAATCTTACAACCGTAGGCCATTGCTTAGAAAAATTACTCACATATGTGTCTTAAATATTTAATTTGGTAATTTATAATGTTTTACAAAAGAAGACTGTTAAATTTTTTATGGATGTTGGTAGTGGGTCTTTCGGCAGACTCCAAGTTTTTATGAGATGCAGCGCACTTAATTGTGAATCGTTTGACTAAAAACTCGAATTTTATTTTATCCCGGTTTTTTATATTAAAATAACATAAATCTATCCAATAATTGATTTGCAAATGCCAAGTTTATTTATTTATTTTTTGTTGCCAAGCATCAAATATATTATGTTCAATGTGTAACAAAAGCAGTGATAATAATTCTGATAATAATCCATGACTGGACTGATTGATATATGCCATAGTGATTGAGTTGACGTTATAAGCCACCACGCACTAAAAATATGACGTTACTAAGATAGGGTGGCCAGCATACTTACAAAGTTGTTTAATTATTAAACACGATTTTAAAATAATCGGTAATGAATAATAGTTATTTATTATACAAGAGTGGAAAGTTCCTTTTTAACCGCGTGCTCGATTTGGATGACCGAGCAAGCGAAGGATTCTAAAGTTGAATCACGAGCGCAGCGAGTGATTCTAAATTAGAATCCTGAGCGTCAGCGAGGGAAACAAACGAGCACAAGGTGAAAAATCTTTCCACTCGAGTGCAATACGTAACTTTTCATCCCACCTCAGCGAGGAAATGACAAAATGAAAAAGAAAACAATTTATAATGACAAAATATTTTTATTTCAATTAAAACACATTAAGATAATCTATAAATTGAAGAAAATAATAAGAAGTAGAAA